GTTATGCAAAGTGTTAAAGGGTGAATAGAAGATACCATGGTGCATCAGTGATACAGTTGAGGAAATAAAAATTTGCCTAATTGGAAAAGATCACAAATTTGAGAACATAATGAGAGAGGGAAATCAATTAGCAGACTACTTAGCAAACAGAGCAATAGATCAAGGAAATTGCAATTTTATAGAATTTGGGGGCATGGATATAAAGGCGAGAAAGATCATTAACAGTGATAAACTAAATTTCCCTTATGTAAGAATATCTCTACAAAGGAGATAAGGGATGGGAAGGCTAAAGCTTAATTTTTCCACATATATTACAGCGAGCCTTCAAGGCAAAGAGCAAAGGATCTACTATTGACCGCTAAAGAATAGCTCGATCCAAGCCTAAACCAACATTGTCGATACCGGCGGAGCTAAAGGTTCTTCCAAGGCGGAGCATATCAGGAATGGGAAAGTTCAGTGGAGGTGAATTAGGATATCTATTGGGAAAGTGTGTAGAGAGAAGGAGCTGAGGGCTTGTCGGTTTGGGCTGGCCTTTTATTTTAGTTGCTTTCTTTTTCTAAAATCTGGACATTGAGTCTAATGATGTAACGAGGTCCTACAGTTATTAAATAAAAGCCTACATTTAACCAAAAAAAAGGAAACAAAATAAGTAAATAAAGTTTCTAGACGCGGTTGCAGTCGATGACACTGACCTATGGTCCGTAGGTCCCTTCCGTGGTTTGGGACTTAGGAAATTTTTCAGAAGCTTGGAACTCCAACTCTCAGTAACGAATGACGGCTCAATAGCACGGACCGTGACTCGATCCACTATCCGTGGATCCTCTTCCGTAGTTTCATTCATAGACTTTTGAAATCAGGTACTAGAACCCCCTTCTCTGAATCATTTGACGGAGCTGCAGGACGGCCCGTAGGTCGACCTACGGTCCGTCGTTTGTAGTAGTGGTTCCACACTTAGTCAAGAATTCCCTGATTTTTCCTTCAAGCATTGATTGGCCATCTACGCCTACTACCTAAGGACCATGACTAGACCTACGGTCCGTAGGTGCCCTTTTCTGCAACAATCTTTAGCTGTGTTTCTACTTCCACGTACGAACTTATTTCCTGCAATCATGATAAAAATACATTAATACCAATACAAAATGGCTCTAGACACACACAACTCTAAGTGAAATGTATGAAACTAGTGTAAACTCACGGTATATCAACACCCTCAACTTAAATTCGTTTTTTGTCCTCAAGCAACGCACTAAGACTATAAACGACATTATGTAGAAGGATACATTCAAGCTCAACCAATCACATGGCTTTCTATCCCAACTCTCTTTTCTAGTGCAAATCGTTTCTCTTAGACTCAACAAGCTAACTCGTGCAGATCAAAACACGACAAAGATCGACCAATAGATACACAACATACATTTTTTCACAATCACAAAGGTACCAACTTTCCAACAATGTAACTAGTGCCCTTACTTCAAACGAAATCCCTTTTCACACAATGAATATGATTTTGAGTACAAGGATTCATTCAACACTCACGCTCAGAAGTAACTTCAAGTATAGTTAGTGCTCAATACCATAGGCTTGCCCTTATTTTCATTGCTTAGACTCTCCAAACTAGTTGCTAGGATCACTATAGGACTTTCATAGGTTGTAACGTAGGCTCAGGGTCAAGTGTGGTACATTTGGGTACTTTTTAGTGACTTTCTGCCCTCCTTGATATTACATTGGCTTTTTTCCTCTTCTTTGACCTACTTTTGGTAACTTTTCATCCCTTTTTCTCTCCTTTCTCTTTTCAACCAAGGATGCGACTTTTGACGTTGTGACACTTGTTTATATATATTTTTTCCCTTTTTCACTTTATTTTTCTTTATTTCTTTTCACGCTTTTACTTATCACATTCTTTTGCCTTTTTCGCACAAAGTCACATCCTCTTTCTTTCTTTTTCTCTTTTCAACACTAAACTCTTTTCATACCCTTTTTTTCATTAGGCTTCCTCTTTCATAGCCACCCTTAACTTATGCATTTTGCCTTAGTTGAGGTGCACAATGCCCAATGTCAGACCAGGGCCAAGATCAAGGTCACTTTTGACTTAGTCACCCTCAACTTAGGCTTTTGGCCTAAGTCAAGGTGCCCATATCCAAGGAGGGACCGGGGCCAAGACAACATTTTAAGGGAAGGTGAGTTAGGTGAATCAAAAGAAATGGTCAATTTTAGGCGCAAATATTTGGATCAAAAGGGAACAATGCTACCATTTGTTTAGATCATTTTAGTCTTAAGTGGACTAATTTGAACAATGGCTTATGATCACTTCCCAACTTCTAGCCTAGATTATCCTAGCAGGACCAACGGGGCAAGTTCTAGATTGGCACAAAACTGTCTGAATATTCAACTATCTTCACACACTTTTGGCACCTTGTTTCATTATCAGATTACCATATTACCAAGTTCAAGATTTTAGCTTAAGTCATGGGGTCACATCGGTTCTTATCATGTCACATTCAGAGCCAACACATTCAACTCATTCTAGCCTACAGATTTTAGCACATATCACATTTTTTTGGATGGGTATCATTTTCTGCTTTCATGCTCATGCCATCATGCTTTATTCTTTATCATGCTCCTACACATACATTCCTAACACATGCCGGTTCAACAGAAATAAAAAAACAGTCTCTTGGGGGAAAAGAACACATGCAAGAATTCCCCAAGAGAGGACTATAAGTTGGGTTACTCAGACTTCACCCTATCACTCATAATCCGTTTGCCCCACCCCCAACAAAATAAAGTGTTATTGCCCTCAAAGCACACAAAAATAAGCAATAAAGAGTAGGGTGAAGGTGAAGCAAACCTGAGGCACAAATGCGTCGAAGAACTCAACAAGCGAGTGGGTCCGATTTCCCTGACTCCGCTAGATCAACATGGGGAACGCCATCAGTAACGCTCCTATCTATCATCACAGCACCATCTATAGTTCTCACATCACGGGGAATGCCATCAATAGCGCTCCCATCTATCATCTCAACACCATCAGTAGTGCTCACGTTATCTCACAGTAGTAACAGCCTCTGTAGCGGGCACAGAACTCGAAGCCCCAAGAGCACCCTCACAAACCCTCTGCTAGCGCAACTCCGCGTCCAAAATAGATGCCCTCCTAGCATACATAGTATGCTGGCGCTCCCTCTTCTTTTCCCTCGCATCCTCAGTGCAATCAGAAGTGTGACTGGACCGGTGCCTCTTCCCTCGGGCACGAGTGGACTCGGACTGCAGTATGTTCTAGTTGAAAAGAGCATCTAACACCGTATCATTAGTCGGGGCAATAAGTGCGGACTCATGCGCATCCATGGATGGGGTTATGATGGCATCAAGATCGACCCGAAAGTGATCCAACTTAGTCTAGAAAGAGGAGATATCTACGGTGGGGGTTGGTCGCTCGAGGACTCGCAACTCGAACGCATCCAGGCGCTTATTAACGGCCTAGACCTTCAGGTCCATCATGGGCTCCATCTTTCTCTTCCTCCTGGCCTCGGACTCTGTGATAGACCGGTGCATCCAAGGCTTCACATGATGAAACAGTGTGGCCATCTGTGCTTCTAATTTTTTAACACAGGCAAGGGGCACGACAGTGGATCCTGACGAAGGGGTGGCTCTGGATGAGCTAGGGGCTCAACTGGCGGCCTGAGATGGAGAGGTCGAGGCATCATCAGTGTAGGCTGGAGGGGCAATGTCTTCACCCTACATTTATTCCACATCAGCTACTAAATCTGCTCCTATAGCGGCACCTCAATCGGTGGACCACATCGTCGGGCAGCTACGTTGGCCCCATCCTGAATAAGGCCGATGTCAAGGGTTTCGGTCGCCCGAACCAATTTGTCGCAATGCCAGATAGGCACCCCAGAATCCCTGCACAACTGGAAGATCATACACAGGAATGGTAAATTAGTGGTAGGCCTGAACGCCCTCTCATGGATCTCTGCCAATAGCATATAGGCAAAGTCGATCTTGAACACAACCACCAAAGCCGCAACCATCACCGCTCTATCCCAAGTAAGCGCATTATCGACCTTAGTGGGCGATACCCTGTTCCTTACGAAAATCCAGAAGAACTTGGAAACCAAATTTAGGGTGGCCTTCCGAATACCCAAGCGCGGTGTGCTGACCCATTTCGTGCGCTCTCCGTCCACAGCTATGTACCTGGCCAGCCAAAGTAATACAGCCTCCCTCTGCTCTACATTCCGTTGGAACGCTCCACTCCTCACAATGTCCTACTGGTAGTCAAATTCTGCGGAGTTGAGTGCCCAAGTGGTGCCCGAACTGTAAAGTAATCGGCTGATAGTGATCTGCGATATGTCTTCCAAAAACCCACACACTAGTGTAGCCTTGAGTGGTGGCTGGGCTCTGGGCTTGGCATTTTTGTGAATAGAGCCTCGGAGAGTGGCTGCGTAGGAACCATAGAACTCCCTCACGATCTCCTCACTATATGTCCCTGATTCTCGGGCCATCCACTCACATCTGTGTTGCTGAAAGAGCCGATAGATGTTGGGTATGGTGTGTAGGCTCCTTGTGAGAACTCTATGCTCCTCTATGATAAGTTGGGCCATCTTCTCTTTTTCATTTACATCTTGGCATCACTGTAGATTTTCCATTGACCCTCAACGCACCATCTATTAGGCTCCTCAGCAACCGGAGTAGGGTTGGTGTTTGGTGTCACTGGAACCACCCCCGAACTAGTAGCCTCATCAGATGAGGTAGCCCTACCATGTGAACTTGATCCTGTTGCGGAGCCAGAAGCAGACCTGGAAGTAGAGGTGGACTTAGAACTGATGAGTCCATAAATTGGACTCATTTAGGGCTTGTTTTTAATAAAATTAGTATCCTCAATTGCATATTTTGTCTCCATAACTGATGTAAATACTTGAATTTCAGGTATTTGAATGTTAGAAACAACGCATGCACACTATGGAGCAAAAAGGAACAAGGCAACCAAAAGAATGAAGAAAATAATGCCTGAGGATCGCCCAAACCATTGGGCGATTCGCCAATGGCCTCGGGCTCGCCCAACATCAAATGTGCCAAGTGCTGAAGGAGGTAACCATGTTGGCGATGGGAAAGTTTAGTCGGCGAATCGCCGAATTACCTTGATATCGCCTAAAGTTATAGAAGGTGGAGTAAAATGAAGAATACTTTAGGCAAACAGTAGAACCAGTTGGCGTATCGCCGATACATTCGGCGGAAGAGAACCATATTTTCAAAGGTTGCTGAAGAAAGTTTGAACACATGCAGATGGGAGAAACAAAAGGTAAAAGGTGATTCGTGGAAATGCTCGGCGATGCAGATCTGATTAGCCTAAAGTCACAGTCGTCAAACCAAGAATGAGTAAAAGAAAACTGAAGGCGAAAGGATGAACACTCGGCGCAATGCCGATAGGTCAACGACACCCGACTAACCTCGCTAAATGGTCTGTGGTTGCCACACCTCAGACTTGTTTAAATTAATTTTTGGAGATAAAAGAGAGCATTCAGAAAAAAAGGGAACAGTGCAATTAGAGAGAAAAACATCATAAAAGGGTTTTGAGTGTGATTTTCAGAGAGATTTTTGAAAAAGATTTTGTAATCAATCAAATTTCTAGTTTATTTTTCCATGAACCCTAAATTTGTTGTATTTATTGATGGGAAGAAGTATGGGTGTTGATTTTCTTTCCATTTTTAATATGAGTGGCTAAAACCCCTCGCTTGGGGTTTTGGCCATAAAGCCAATTATTGAATTTTGCTAAGTAGGTAGTGTTGAAATATGAATGGGGAGGTTGATTTGAAGTGGGTCTGGATCGTTATGGTGATTTGATGTTATTTTGCATTATTTAGTGCAACTATTTCTGCGTTGTGAGCTTGCTCGAGAGAGAAGTTCAGAACCAAAGTAATGATCTCAGCATCCTTAGTAGTGGGTTAGCCGGATTTCAGCTTGAGTGAGTGAAACACGGAACCTATCCTTTGTATCTAGCTCGAGATAGTGAATTTGATGAGGGCAAAATGCTGGGCATCTTCCGATTGGTGATGAAGTTTTAGAAAATTCGTCATAGAAAAGGTAATTGTTTGAGAGAAAATTATCTTAAACATAGTCCGACCTACCCAAAATAAAATGACCTACCGTTGGTATCAACATTACCTTCTAAAGTGAAATTTGACAATTGGCTGGTCAATTCCCCAAGTTTTACTCTAGTATTTATTTACTTTGTAATTATTCGTGAATTTGGGCCTAAAGTTGATAGATACTCCATAATCCTAAAGTTATAAGGGAAATATTGTTGAAGAGATTGTGTCAAATCTTAACCTTGGAATTTGAAAGAAAGCCTACTCCCTTGGGACTCGACTCCAACCCTTGGTTGGGTTACTTTACTATTGTACGATCGTAGACACTTGAATTAGAAGTTGGGTATTAATTACGCAAAAATCAAAATGGCACTGCTGCCAGGGAGTAGCACTACTTAGAATTCTTTGATTGAAGGTTTGACAATCTCAAATCTATTGGTTGTAATTGATTTAGTTTTGGCTGCTTTGTGCACGTATTGGCTGAACTACCTAGAAGTGACATGAGTGATGAAGAAATGAATGACAGTCAAGCAGGTCATCGAGACGGCATTGATGACATCAATAGTGTCTACAACCCGGATCAGTCGGGTGGAAGGGGCGCAATTTGCATCCTACAAACTTATGGGAATGCGATGTTTGAAGTCACTAGCACAACTCTCCACCTTCTCCAAATGAGGAGACTTTATGGAGGGCTAGATCACGAAGACCCGCATGAACATGTAAGAAGCTTTACAGAAGTTTGAAATCCTTTCTCATTCAAGGGAGTGTCGCAAGAATCAATCCGGTTGCGGCTATTCCCGTTGTCTTTAAAAGGAGAAGCTAATAAGTGGTTAACCAAGTTACCAAACAATTCCATCACATCATGGGAGGAGCTGGTTGTAGCATTTAACACAAGATTTTTTCCTCCATCAAGAATGATGAAACTTAAAGATGAAATTCAAGGTTTCAAGCGAAGGGATGGGGAACCACTCCATGAAACATGGGTGAGATTCAAGAAACTCCTACTTAAATTCACAACCCATGGGCTACCAAATGATTTGTTACTTTAATATTTTTTATCGTAGTCTTGATTCGGTTAATAAAGGAGCAGCTGACCAGTTGGTACGAGGAGGAATAATGTTTCAATCATTTGAGGTGGCTTCATTTCTTCTAGATGACATGACTAGAATAAATCAAGTGTGGTATACCAAAGAAGATCACATCTCTCCATTTCAGTTTAGATTAACACAAGAACAATTGGATAAAGAGAAAGAGAGGGATGAAAACATCAAGAAAATGTTGACCCAAATGGAAGTTCTACAGGAGCATATGAAGGGAACATGTGGAGTGTTCAGAGTTGAGGAGGGTTCATTCTCAAGCTATTCAAATCCTATGGAGAATCAAGGTTGGAACTCCAAAACATGTGAGGAGGGTTTCTACCCACGCTATTGGCAGCGAGGTGGAAACCAAGGTTGGAACCATCATAAGGAAGTTGAGCAAAGGAGGTGCCATCAAGATTTGTCCGAACAATATGAGCACTGGAGAAGAGAGGATGAATATGAAGAGAACCACACTCATTCAAGTGAAAGCCCAAAATCAAGGGGGAGTGCAAATAGCCCTCGTGTTAATGATTTGCTTACACGCATTCTTGACAAAGTTGAAGGCTTGGATGATTTATTGAAAGGGATGAAAGATGACTTCTCATCCTTGAACAATAAAGTAAACTCACACGGAGATGCAATCAAAATCCTTGAAGGTCAAATGGGTTTACGTACAATGCAATTGAAACAAAGGATGGAGGCAAATGATGAAGACAGAGGGCAAGCTTTTGTTACTCGGAGCAGAAAAGAAGTAAAAGGTGATCTGATGGGAAATGAGGAAGTGCATATTCAAAATGAAAGAAAAGATATGGAGGATGAACAAATAACCATCCCACAATACAACACAATGGGGCCACAAAGTGATGTAGAGAAACAAAAGTCATGCCTAAAAGTCAAGCAACCTTTACCCAAAATACCTATTCCATATCAACAACGCCTTAAGAAGAAGAATGAGGATGAAAAATTCAAGAAATTTTTATCGGTATTCAAGACCTTATCAATTAATCTCCCTCTAGTTGAAGCATTGTTGGAAATGCCCGGTTACGCCAAATTCATGAAGGAGTTAGTCACAAAAAAGGAGCTTGGATTTTGAGACGATCGAAGTCTCTCATAGTTGTAGTGCAATTATGACTAAGGAGTTGATCGAAAAGAAAGATGACCCTGGGGCATTCACCATTCTGTGTACCATAGGCATGGTCAAGTTCGCAAAAGCCTTATGCGATCTAGGAGCACGTATTAATCTAATTCCTTATGCTATTTATAAACAACTCGGGTTGGGTGAACCACAGGCAACAACTATGAGACTCTTGATGGCTGACAGATCGATCAAGCATCCGGTGGGGATACTTTATGATATTTTGGTTAAGGTCGACAGGTTCATCTTTCCGGCCAATTTTGTCATACTCGACTATGACATAGATCCCGAAATTCCTATAATCTTGGGAAGGCCATTTTTGGCAACTGGGAGAGTGTTGGTGGATGTCTAGAGTGGGGAGCTGAAATTTCAGGTTAATGATGATGAAGTCACCTTTGATGTGTGCAAATCAATAAAACACCCCAGTGACATTCATGTAATCTTAACTGATGATATGATTGATGAGGTTGTGGCTAGTGTGAGCCATCTGATGTTTAGCAAAGAACCCCTTGAGGTTGTGTGGACTAACGATGAAGAGTTTGAAGTTCGAAGCTAAGCTGAAGTGGTAGCCGCATTTTCAAGTATGGGGGAATTCACAAAGACTCCAATGAAGCTGGACATTGACTTAAAGAATTCAGAGAGCCCTCCCGCCAAACTGTCAATCGAAGAACCACCAAGTCTCAAACTTAAGGTATTACCTTCGCACCTTCGGTATGCTTTTTTAGGCAAGAATAACACCTTGCCGGTGATTATTGTGTCTTACTTACTTGATTGGCAAGTAAAATTTCTCCTTGAAGTACTGAAAAGGCATATAAAAGCCATCGGCTAGACTATCGTTGATATAATGGGCATCCCTCCAGGCATTTGCACAAACAAAATTCAGCTTGATAGTGATTGTAAATCGAGTGTTGAGCATTAACGAAGATTGAACCTGCCAATGCACGAGGTGGTGAAAAAGGAAATAATAAAGTGGTTGGACGCGGGAGTGATCTACCCGATTGTAGATAGCAAATGGGTCAGTCCGGTACAATGCGCACCAAAAAAAGGAGGAGTAACAGTTGTCCCTAATGACAAGGGGAGCTTGTACTTATGCACCCTGTGACCGGATGGAGAGTTTGCATGGACTACCAGAAACTGAACTCATGGACTGAAAAGGATCATTTCCCTATGCCCTTTATGGATCAAATGCTTGACCGACTATCCGAGAGAGGGTGGTATTTTTTTTTGGATGGGTACTCTGGCTATAACCAAATCTCCATTGCTCTATAGGATCAAGATAAAACAACCTTCACATGCCCATATGGTACTTTCTCCTTCGAACGAATGCCATTCAAATTTTGTAATGCCCCGGCTACGTTCCAGCGTTGCATGCTATCCATCTTTGCTGACATGGTGGAAGACTCAATCGAAGTATTTATGGATGACTTCTCAGTTGTGGGTGACACATTTGCAAAATGCTTAAAGCACTTAGGCCAAGTTCTCCAAAGATGTGTGTAGACCAATTTAGTCCTGAATAGGGAAAAGTGTCATTTCATGGTTAAGGAAGGAATTGTGCTTGGTCACAAAGTATCACAAAAGGGGCTGGAAGTCGACAGAGCAAAAGTCGATGTAATTGAGAAATTACTGCCACCAATTTCAGTAAAGGGGGTTTGGAATTTTTTGGGACATGAAGGATTTTATAGGAGATTTCTCAAAGATTGCACTTTCTCTATGCAAACTTTCGGAAAAAGAGGTGAAATTTCCCTTTGATGATGCTTGTATGGTAGCTTTTAACTGCCTGAAAGAAAAACTGATTTCCACTCCAATCATCATTAGTCCTGATTGGTCAGAGCCATTTGAAGTAATGTGCGATGCAAGCGGCATGGCATTGGGCATAGTGTTGGGACAGAAAAAAAACAAGCTCTTTCATCCCATTTACTATGCAAGAAAAACTTTAAACAGTGCTCAACGTAACTACACAGTTATCGAACAAGAGCTACTTGCAGTGGTTTATGCGTTTGAGAAGTTTTGCGCATACTTGCTGGGAACAAAAGTAATTATTCACACTGATCATGTTGCATTGTGCTATCTAATGGCAAAGAAAGACGCCAAACCGAGACTTTTAAGGTGGGTGCTTTTACTGCAAGAGTTCAATTTTGAAGTCAAAGATAGAAGGGGTTGTGAAAATCAAGTGGCAGATCACTTGTCACGATTGGAAGGCAGGGAGATTGACGAGCTGGAGGTCGACATTAAGGATGTATTTCCTGATGAATAGGTATTCCCAGTAACTTTCCACAACCTCTTTGGTATGCTAATTTTGCAAATTATTTGGTGTGTGGATTAATGTCGAATGAACTGAACTTCTACCAACAAAAGAAGTTTTTGTTCGATGCTAAGAAATACATGTGGGACAAGCCATATTTGTTTAGAGAGTGTGCTAACCACATCATCAGAAGATGTGTTCCGGAAGAAGAGGCTAGGAAGATCCTGCATGTGTGTCACGCTTCACCGGTAGGAGGACATCATGGTGGTGTTCGGACAACAGCTAAGGTGCTACAAAGTGGGTACTATTGGCCGTCTCTATACAAAGATGCATATGAGTTTGTTAAGAGGTTCCCGCAATGTCAAAAGCAAGGTGGTGTATCAAAAAGGCACGAGTTGCCTCTCACACCTATTTTGGAAGTGGAACTATTTGATGTATAGGGGATCGATTTCATGGTCCCATTTGTGAGCTCATTTGGGAACAAATACATCTTGGTGGCCGTGGATTATGTGTCCAAATGGGTAGAAGCTATCGCCCTCCCAAACAACGAGGGAAAAAGTGTCGTCCAATTCTTGAAGTGCTACATTTTTGCAAGGTTTAGGACTCCGAGAACCATTATTAGCGATGGGGGATCTCACTTTTGTAATAAATGGTTCTTAGCTGCACTGAGTAAGTATGGGGTTAAGCACAAAGTAGCAACACCGTACCATCCCCAAACAAGTGGCCAAGTTGAAGTGTCAAACAGCGAGATCAAAAGCATTTTGGCTAAAACAGTGAATGCAAATAAAACGGATTGGTCTCGAAAGTTGGATGACGCACTATAGGCGTATCGCACCAACTACAAAACTCCAATTAGTATGTCACCTCAGTTAGTTTTTGGGATGTCTTGCCATTTACCAGTCGAGCTGGAGCATAAAGCAATGTGGGCATTGAAAGCTCTAAATTTTGACTAGACAAAAACTTCAAAAGAGAGAGTAGAGCAGCTAAACGAGTTGGACGAATTCAGGTTTAAAGCTTACGAAAGTTCAGCTCTCTACAAGAAAATGATGAAGAAGTGGCATGATGCTAAAATACTTAAGAGAGAGTTTAAGGTGGGAGATTGGGTGTACTATACAACTCCCGACTGAGGTTGTTTCCCAGAAAACTCAAATCGAAATGGTGAGGACCATTTAGAGTGAAGCGAGTGTTCTCAAATGGCGCCATAGTAGTTGAAGGGAAGGAAGGACCTGCATTTAAGTTGAATGGGCAGCGTTTGAAGTTATACTTTGGTGAATGCCAGGAGATTTCTCTTATTGAAGTGGTGGACATGGAAGATGCTTGAAAGCACTTCCACGTCATGCCACGACGTTAACTAAGGCGTTTCTTGGGAGGCAACCCAAGTTTTACTATTTTAAATAATGTGTGTTGATATTGCAGGAATGGGTTCAATGAACAAGACAAAATACTCTTGGCTAATTGCCAAATCACTTCGGCGAGCACGATGCAGTTCGCCTTTTGGCTTTCGAAAAAAGGGGCTGAGATATAGGAGTATTCGGCGGGACACCTTTACTAGTCGGCGAACCGCCGATTTATTTTGGCGACTCGATTTTCCTCGCCCTTCCTAGTCAGCACATCTGAAGTTCATTATGCGAATCAGAAAATGGTTCAGCGTTCTTCTACATTTTTGCCAATCTGCCTCACACAGAAATGCAATCTACTAGAACAAAGGGTGATTTTACTACCATAACGCGATTCGCCGAATCTTTCAGCGACCTTTTCACTGCTTCGCCAACTGGCCATTTAGTGAAGATTTCTTGATACCCTGCTTTACCTGTTTACACACTAGATTGCTTTCATATCTTGTTGTTATTTATATTAAATTTCGGTAATTATCTGCTCTCCACCCACATTGAGGACAACGTGAATAGTTTAAGTTGGGGGTGTTCTGTGGCCTTCTTCTTATTTGTTTTCTTCTTGTTTGTTTTAAAGGTTCTTGTTTCAAAACCCCGTACTTGTGTTGAAAGAAGTTGTTCTCTTGAAAATTTGAGTATCGGTCTTGATCAATACCGATGACTTGAATAGTGCTCATAATCGAATAAACATGAATGTGTGGCTACAATAAGGCCAAATGAAGTTGCATAGACAATATATGAACTCTTTGCATCTCGTTGTAACTAGCCAGTGATCAAATCGAGTCTCTTGTGATGATCGTTGCACACTAGCGAAAGTGTGGAGTCTTGTTTGACTTGTAGTGTCAATGCCTAGTGTGATGAGCTTACATGTGAACTACGCATGATGGATCCTAGAATTTTCCCCGTTGGTCTGGTCAACTAAGTTATTCTATCTCTTTATATGATCTTAGGCAACTTCGAAGAGTGTGAGCCAATTTGACATATACCTCTTTTGTGGCCTACCGTGTAAGTGTATGAACCACTTTTGAACACCCCTTGAGCCTTACCTTTCTTTGGAATAAACTTGATGAAAACAATGGCATTTCTTTATCCATCACACATAATCCTCATGACGTTGTGGTTAGTTGAATAGCCAACTTAGGCCAAAAGCCTAAGTTGGGGTGTGGTGAAAAGATAAGGTAAATCAAGAAGTGCAAGAAAATACCTTCTACCCAAATGGAACCCCTCCAAGAATGAAGAAGTTGTGAAATAAAGTTATGAAAATACAAAGATAATGGGGTTTCCAACTATCCATGGGAAGTGAATAATGGGACTACTTGTGAGCA